ATGTAGGCTACCACATAAAAATAGACTCGGTGTTTGTTTGGTTTCTGACGAAGATGGGGAGACATGATTGCAACCAGGGGCAGTTCGTTAACTTTTAGTCAGCTGGAATGGACAAGAGATTGGCAGCTGATAATTGTTCTTATTCAGTTTCAAGTAAATCCAAATCAATATTAATTTAGCAACCCTCAAATAGCACTTTCACTATAAAAAGACGCTCTCAAAGACAATAACGGCTCGTCTTTGGATTGTCACACTACAGAAACTCGTTCATAAATCTCGGTTTATCTTGCTGGCTCACACGGTTGTTGTTACCTGCTGCTGTCACGATGCACCGCTCCATGTCGTGCGCTCATTGGTGACGTCACCAAGCTCGGCGAATAGAGCAATAATTGTTCTAATAGCCCAGCATGAAGATCACCTTTCTTGCCACTTTGGCTTTTCTGGTGCTTACAAAGGGCAAGACTGTCTTGAAAAGTACATCGTATAATTTCATCTGTAATATTTATCTTTAAACCTGTCTCTAATCGCTGTCAGTTACAACGTACGTGTACTGTTATAGTGGCTCTAATGTTCATAACTAACTGAATTTTGAGACAGCCATGGTTCTTTGTGGTGTTCTGTTCACCGATTACTTCCTGCTACAACCTTACCTGGCCCCAAAAAGTACAGACCGGCGAGTTGGTCCAGTCATTGTACATGTATATAGCAGAAATTTTTACGGAGGTGAGAGTTGAGGTCTGACTAGCGAACGACACTTAGCTGTCAGTCTGGACCCCATCATCCCTCTACTCCCCCCCCCCCCCCCCCCCCGGGGCCCTTTCTTTTCCCTCTTTCTCTGTTCTCACCCCAGCCCCCGAATCGGGGTTTTAAAAAAAAAAAAAAATTTTTTTCCCTTTAAAAAAGGCCCCGGGAAATTTTGTCCGGAAAAATGGGGGGGGGGGGGGTTACCCCCCGAAAAGGGAGAGTGTCCGGAAAACCCTCCGCATTTTTGGTACAAAGACCACGTTTCAAATGCTTAAGTACGAAAGAGAATCACCAACACAGTGGGGCAATATGAAGATCTACTGACCACAGTGAAGAGACGAAAACTAAAATGGTATGGGCATGTCACAAGCTCCACAGGACTTGCCAAAACAATCCTGCAAGGAACCGTACAAGGAAAGAGAAAGAGAGGAAGGCAGAGAAGGAGATGGGAGGACAACATTACAGAGTGGACAGGAAAGACGATGGGTGACAATCTGAGGAGAGCAGAGGACAAACATAGATGGCGAGAGCTGGTTTTCAAATGCAGGGGTGCCCCAACGGTTGCCCCAACCACGGGATAGAAGAAGAAGAAGAATTTGTTAGCCTAAGTGTATTGTAGGCCTATTGTTTCGGATTCTACCTAGACTTGGTCTGCTTGGGACAGCGTTGGTAGTGTGGTAACAAATTGGTTCTCTGTTTTTACAGACTATTATAAATCAGCTCGTTAACATTATCGTTATGTACATAAGATTTTTTTGTGGAAGGGGACCAAGTTCCCAAGGGCTCTGTGTGTGTTTTTGTGAATGTTGTTTTGTGAAATGGGGTGGGGGAGCAAAGATACAGGTATAAATGTGTATCTGTATGTAGTATGTGTGTGGGAGGGCGGCCCAGGGGGGGGGGTGAGGGGAAGACCAAGGGGATTGCAGGTTGAGGTAGGGTGGGGGTAGAGGAAGAGCGAGGAGATCAATAAGAATGATAGCCAGTCAGTTTCACATAGCACGAGTCGCCCCTACTTGCAACTCAGTAGCTGATTTGTGTAGTAGGGTTTTTGTTTGTTTGTTATTGTTGTTGTTTTTTGGGGAGTCGTTTGTTTTGATTAATTCTTTTAATTCTTCTATTACGTTTGAGAAATATTCTCTTCTGCGGATGTATTGGTCACCGTCAGATCTTATTATTGTCTTGTTTGTGCAGTCGGTAGACAAAGCCAGAAGAGGTTAATTTTTGTGCCCTTTGTCGATATCTTTATTGTGGGCCATTAATGTTTTTAAAAACATCCACTGTGTCGATTAGAAATATGAACAAATTTCGAAAAAAAATGTCACATAAAGTAAGTTATTGTGTTGGAGTATATCAGTATCTGTGGGGCTTTTTTCATATTATGCAGCGATAGTCCCAATGTATCCCGAACGATGCTTATTTTCTGTGTTTACTTCCCCTTTCCGGGTTTTCTCTAATCAAGCAGTTTTTTCTATGTGCTTTTTTTTCCTTCCTACCCACACCTCCCTCACTGTTGGGTATAACTGACGAATTGTTACGTTTCCATATCCCCTTATTCATGATCCTCTTCATCATTTTCCCTATCCCTTTTCATCGTTCTTGTCAGCGGCCATCCTCCTCCCCTTTCGCCTCCTGCACATCCTCCTCCTCCACCTCCTCATCCTCCTCCTCCCCCTCCTCGCCTCCTCCTTCTCCTCCTCCAGCATTAAAAGGGGTCTCAGAATCCTAATTTATAGTATACTCAGCAAAGCTCATTGTAAAATCTGATTCCCTGAACTTCATTACACATTACAGATATGAGTACTTTAACCACAAAGACTGGCGGTGTTGGAGTATCAGTAGCTGTGACGCCTGGCGGACACAAGTGTCAAATGATAACACAATCACTCCTCTATCTATCTCGCCATTAATAGTGGGCGGTTCCCAATGAGGGCCTCATTAAGAGTGGTAAAGAACTTGAACAATGCCACTCATGTACCTGTAATAAGGTAGGGCCTCGGTCCTATCGGAGACATACCAAATTTCGCAGGTCTCGTCTCTTAAACATAATGCGCTTACAGTGTTGAAAGAGGTGTGCAATAAACACAGAGACCCCCCCCCCCC